TTTTAAAATAACTAATTCAGTGAAGAACATTATTGGTAGTTTGATAGGAATAGTATTGAATGTGTAAATTACTTTGGGCAGTATGGCCATTTTAACAATATTGATTATTCCTATCCATGAGCATGGAGTATTTCCATTTGCTTTTTTTCATCTCTGATTTCTTTGAGCAGTACTTTGTATTGTAATTCCTGTTGTAGAGATGTTTCACCTTCCTGGTTAGTTGTATTCCTAGGTATTTTATTCTTTTATTTATTATTATTATTTTTTTAAGACAGAATCTCGCGCTGTCGCCCAGGCTGGAGTGCAGTGGCGCGACCTCGGCTCACTGCAAGCTCCGCCTCCCAGGCTCACACCACTCTCCTGCCTCAGCCTTCCGAGTAGCTGGGACTATGGTGCCCGTCACCACGCCCGGCTAATTTCTTGTATTTTTAGTAAAGACAGGTTTTCACCGTATTAGCCAGGATGGTCTCGATCTCCTGAGCTCATGATCCGCCTGCCTCGGCCTCCCAAAGTGCTGGCATTACAGGTGTGAGCCTCTGCGCCCGGCCAATATTTTATTCTTTTTGTGGCTATTACAACAGACATTTTAAACATACGGAGCCTAAATAACCTGACTTTCACCCACATTTGGAAAATGAAGAGAATGAATATGCATATAGATACTTTTTTACTTCAGATTTTCCAGCAAATATTCTTATAATACCTACATGTTTATTAATCAAACATCACATAAGAATACCTACCCTGTGCTCATCTGTCAGGAGCTGACTTTTTCTCTGCATTCTTATTCTTCATTTGTTTATTAATTAATTCAACACACACTACTTGGAGCCTGCTCTGTGCCCAAGGGCTGTTCTAGGTACCGAAGACACCACCAGGATAAGGCAAACAAGGTGCTATTCTTATGGAGTTTACATTCTACCACAGAGGGTAAAATTAAAAGACAATAAATAAACAGAAACAAATATTTCAGTTAACAATAACTCAAGAAAACACAGTAGAGTAGAATGCTAGGGTAGCCTGGAGGGTCCCTTTAGACGGTTGAAATAGACAAGTCTCCTCAGGAGGTAACATTTGTCTCAGATGGACAAGATGGCACCAGCCATGTGAAGAGCTGAGGGAACTGCAAATACCAAGACCCTGAAGCGGGAAAGCGTTTAGAGAATCCAAAGAACTTAAAGAAATAATTCTATTTAGAGCATCATGAGTCGGAAGGAGGTGTTTTGAGATGAGGCCAGACAGTGAGTGAAGAACACATTTTTGCCAAGGACTCAGGCAGCTGCTTCAAGATTTGTTCTGCCTTTGGAGTCAGCCCAGAACCAGCCTGTGGAACAAAGGCCAGAACTGACTCAGATATAGACATTATTGTGGCCCTACAGATCTCCTCTTTCATGTGTCTGAGCTGCCCCTGAAGTCGTTATCTCCTGGGTCTTTATTACCTGAGTGGTTCACTTGGCTTTTTGACCTTCATTCTTGCTCATTTTCTGTTTGTCTTCCAGACCTGTGGGCCTGTTGCCTGGTTTCTGATCTGATACTTTTTCTGATCCTCACTATTGGTTTAGGCCTGGGGTCCACATAACCTGAGTGTTCTGAGTGTTCGATCTTACAACAACTTCCTACCAATCCTTAATGGACTTTATAGTTTCCTTACCTGACTAGACACCAAAACCGCTGCTGTGTTACTACTTTTTTGAATATGTACAGTGGTACCTCTGTGTCTGTGGGGTCTGCATCCATGAATTCAGTCAACCTCAGATAGAAAATATTTGGGGAAAAGAGTTCCACCGGGTTCCAAAAAGCAAAACTTGAATTTGTTGCATGCCGAGTATTACATTGCATCCACACAAATGCAGTGATATCTGAGAATTGCATTAGGTATTGAAAGTAATCTAGAGATGATTTAAAGTACATGGGCAGATATGCATAGGTTATTTGCAAATATGACAGCATTTTATATCAGGGACTTGGCATCTGCAGAATTTAGTATCTGAGGGGGTCTTGGGACCAATCCCTAATGAATACTGAGGGATGACTGTATCGTGTTATCAGCTTTCAAAAACACTTCCAAATACTTTAGCACTTTTGAACGTGTCAACAATCTCCATGAAGCAGCTTTACAATTATTATTATTTTATTTTAAAGATAAGGAAATCTAAAGTCAAAGGTAAGTGCCTGAGAACCCAGGAATCCTGCTTTCTAGCCTCCGTCTTATTTAGGGGGTGAGGGAGGTCTAGTGCACTCTAGGCATATGGGGAGACTAATTGCACAGATGGCCGGCTTATTATATGAACGTTGAAGACAAGGCACAAATGAATTTAAGGTGAATAGAAAGGATTCTTTTCCCTTCTCTTCAACTTTTTTCATACTTGTATATTTCAGTTCACTTTTCTTTGTAATATTATGTCCTCAGACATCATTCACAGCCCCATACATACACTAGAACATAGTATAGAGATAGACTAATACAAATATATTACCAATGAAAGGAGCAAAAAGAGAACAAGTGACTCATTTAATTGGTGAATTTGGAAGGAAAAAACTGAGCATATTCAGCTGAACTGCTCTGAATTCTTTCCTTTGGCTCCACCTAACCCCAAATACCATAGTTTTCAGGTGTTGGATAGCATATATAACTCATTTTAAAAGCTCAAAGTTCTATGGTCTAATTTTCAAGTATGTATCTTTCAGATAACCATGTTGTCAACAATTAAATGTACTCTTAAAAAAATCAGCATTTTCAGATAAGTTCAAACAAGAAGAGACAAGAGGGTGTCATCGAGAAACTAACAATTTCCTTACCGGTTCAATATTAAACAAAACTCATAAATAATATTCTTAAAATAAATGGGAGAGTGATAGAAAAGATTGAAAACCCTCAGGTGTCTTTAATCCTTCTAAGGTGGATCAGTTAAGTTCATCATAGCTCGTGTGTGGTAGCTTTGCAGTAGAATGATTTTCATACCATTCTTTAAAAATCTAAGGTTCTTATTAGGATGAGATTCTAGCTGTTTCTATTAAAAATTCATGACTCTTTTCCAACAGAACTGTTTTGACCTGTTATTTCTGGCTAAATTTGTACGAGTTCTTTTCTCCCACCCACTCCTGCACAGATCTCAAGAAAATACACTTTAATAGCTAGTGATCCAAAGTCCTTAGACAAAAACAAAAATATGCAATTCTGCGTAAAACACAAATTCACTTAGAGGTGAATATTATAAAAAGCAAACGCAGTAAGTTTTGAAGGATGTGTTGTCCCTAGAGGACCATTTAGTGGATTGGAAGCAGCAATTCATGACTGAAAATAAATTGAGTAAAATATAATACAGTTAATCTACATAAACTCAAAACTTTCCAAATAGAAAAATAATTACTTATCTTTCCTAGTTTGTTTCCAGACAGACATTTAATATTGTATAAACATCATGTCACTATAGATTCAACGGAGGATCTGGTCTCTCCTCCACCAACCCCTCCTCTCACCTCTCCAGATATCTCTGGGACAGTATAGGTGAACCTCTGGGGACTTGTGTAAGAATAGGGTACATCTGTCTCTACTAAAAAATACAAAAAAAAAAAAAAACTAGCCAGGCGAGGTGGCGGGCACCTATACTCCCAACTACTCGGGAGGCTGAGGCAGGAGAATGGCATAAACTCGGGAGGCGGAGCTTGCAGTGAGCTGAGATCCGGTCACTGCACTCCAGCCTGGGCGACAGAGCGAGACTCCGTCTCAGCAAAAAAAAAAAAAGAAAAAAAAAGGATTGGGTACATCTGGACTGCTGCCAGCCAGGTGGTAAGCTTGCTGGGGAAAGGCTCTGGCCTTGATCATTAAGCTTCTGTGTTGTTGAACTTTGTCTATGATGGGTGGGTGAGCTTAATTCAGCGGTGAAATATTATAAATACCATTGCAACCTCATATCTAAGCTATAGCTTTTATTGGCAGTAAAGCTGCCTCTATAACTTCCTTCTGGGAAATACTGCAATCTCTCTCTTAGGATATTTTCTTATATTCATCCAGATTTCTCAAGAATGATTTGACAATTCTACTATGTTATTGTCATTATTTTCTTTCAAAAAAAAGATACTCAATATTTTTGCAAAAAGACATGGAAATACATTCTATGTCACAAAGATCATATAGATGATAAGTCTCAAACTTAGCTATAAGCACACAGATGACTCAAACAATAAAAGGAATATCATAAAATATATCTTATTTGAAAATGTATTATACTTGATTAAAAATCCAAATTTTTAAAGTTTACACCTTATAGTTTTTACTGAAACTTTAAGTATTTTTTTAAAAACCATGTTAATTGATCCAAAACAAAATGTTCATACTTTTGTGCAAAATAAATTACATGTTGTTTCCTAGGCTGAAATCACATTATCATTTCATTGGATTATACTGGTGTCTGTGTGTCTGTGTGTGTGTGTGTGTGTGTGTGTGTGTATCTTTGTATAAAATAATATGCTACTGTGGCTATATTAAGACGGTGCCAACATAACTGGCTGAAAAGTGAAAAATTCAATCATGACAGTTTTACTCACATGTTTTCCTGATTAGACTAGTTGATTTGGCTTGGCATTTTATATGCATTCATTAAGTTGTTGTAAACAAAGGTGTAATATTATAATGACTTTCAAGTCAATAACTTTTGGTCTTTACAATAGTGAACTATTAAATATGCACAGTCAAAAATATTTAAAATTCAGACTAAAATCCACTAATTTCATCTCTGAAATTAATGTTACTGCCTTTTACAAATTTTCACTATAGAGAATGGTATTTAGAGAGTATACTCCTATCATTAGTCATACTTTTAAAAGATGGGAGGCTGGAAAGGAAGAAAATAAAAGAGATTCCACTGCTGATAAAATGTTTTCACTTTTCCCAAAAATACACTAGTAATATCTGTGTATGTGTATGCACACACACACACACACACACACACACAACCTTGTCCCTCAAGTAGACCCCCCAAGATCCCCAATTTTATTACCTGTTTTTGAGCAGCACACTGAAGGTCATCTTATCCAGTCCCCGATAATTTGGCAGCAACTTTGCCCAGTTCCACTTCCATTTTGTGGTGGCTGACTGTTGATAAATGAGAAGACACTATTGTTAGTTATTAATCAGTGTTAATATGATCAGTAAATTAAAGCTCCAGCTGTGATAGACTAACTAAGAAGGAGGGGGGTCCAGAACAAGGACTTAGACAGATAACATCAATCATGTCCACAGAAGAAGGTTTTTATTCCAATAAGATAGCAATTAATTTATAAATCCATTTGGGGATGTAGTCATTATTTATAAAAATATAAATCAATTTCTTGAGTCGTTATTCTTCCAAGTGTTAATGGCATTTCCCCAACAAGTTTCTCTGAGAAGAAGACTGTTTGAAAAGCAAAGAAAAATAATTGGGAACTTTTTCAGACATCATATCAATTTATTGTTTGATTTTCTTTCCAGCAACCAAAAGTTTGATTAAAAAACAAACTTGGAAGTGCTAAGAATCAAATTATAAGATACAGCCTAATTAGAGTATGATATTAATGTTATCTTTTTGGTTAAGAAAATGCTTTAAAGGGAAGATGATGAGGATCTGTAAGTGTAAATTATATAAATGATTTTTCTCATTAATAGAAATTTCGCAACAGACTATGGAGAAAAATTACTGTGAAAAATAATCTCATAATTCAGAACTCAATAAAATATGCCATTGATTTAAATGAAGTAGGGAAAATTTAACGGCTATAATAATTATTTATGGTTTGGAGCAATCTAATGCACAATACAGAAAAGCAGCCAATAAACTCAAACTTAGTATATTTAAAGTATTATAAATGCTTATGCTCCTTAGAATGAAATAGTTTTGAAAACAGGAGTCCAGACTGACGTTTAAAATCCAACAAGAGCTATCCCCTGTCACCTGCTGATTAATTGAGCACTGCAATCCTGTCATAGAGCAGCAGAATTCTGCCCTGGGTTGTCAGCATTTGAAGGTCTTACTCTACTACAGTATTGATGAGTGTAGACTAGAGCTGTAACAGTCATGGTAAAAATATTATCTGCATGCTGAATTAGGTCATTGTTTTAATTCTTATTTTCATCAGAGCTCTAGGTCAAGCAATCCTTCTCTTCTGCCCTGTTAGTTCAAATTGTCTGTCAAGAGGTTTCTGGGAAAAGCCACCAGAAGAATGAACAAAGCAAAAGCAACTTTAGATTTCAAACACTTCGGCAGAAAGATGATCTTTTCAGTGTAACTACTGAAACATGCAGCTTAGATAATGGCATAATCTGACATTTAAAAATGTGTGGTGTTTCCCATACTGACTTTATTCCAAATAGCCTGGCTTTAAGATTATTAACAAATTCGTTTTAAATTTGGGAATGTGTCTATGGTTATAAAAAGCAAATTTACCCCATACCACTTAAAGGAGGAGCTCAGTGCTCTATTTATAATTAATTTTAACTATTTTCTAATTTGCCTGATACATTCATAAAGGTTGCAAGGTATTTTGTGCGTGTGTGTTTTGGGGGATGGGGGTGACAAGGGAGGAAAGGAATGTTACAAAATGCCTGGTTCTTCAGCCCTCTGTAGACACAGCCTAACAGATGTTCCCTCTGCCCATGGTAAACTGATCAGCCAAAAGTTAAGTTTTACAGACCAAACAGATGAATCAGTTTGACAAATAGAAAAAAGGTTAAATAACTTTTAAAAGTCAATTTGTACAGACCATGTAAGTAAGAACAAGGCCTTTTGCTTCCTAGCAAAAAAAGCTTATGAGTAAATATTCAAACACAAAGCAATTTTTTCTTAGTTGAGTAAAGAAACCACACATTTAAATTAAATTTACCATTTAATTTCCACATACCTGATCTAGCATGTTTTCACTAAACGCCTTATACACATGGAAAGGGTTAAAGGCAGAAGGCTGATCTTCTATACTCCTCAAGGTCGCCTTTAAAGGTCGGATGGGTAATGGCTTTTCCTCTGAACTATTCATAGAAAACAGCTGTTCTTTTAAATATTCCTTCAAAGAAAAGAAATTACAAGTTGTGACGGTGAGAAGCAGACATTCTCTGTAAAAATAAACTGATCAATATCCAAATTTATTCTTTCAGCACACTTGCTAGATTACAGTGTATTGCTTGCCTCAGGGAAGAATACATTTTCAGAAGATACATAGTGGAGTACCAATCAGCATTGCAATAAACCCATCAAAAACAGGTTTACCTAATATGTAGTATAGATTAGGAAACCATTGACCAAACTCTTACAGAATGAATATATGTTTGATATATCAGAGCTTTTTAACAGGCATTGTCTTGCCACCTAACGTGTCTGGTTGCCAAAACTTAACTCAGCTGCATAATTATTCACAGTACAAGGTTGCTCATCCATTCATTAAGCGTAGTTGTTAACTACTCCAGGCTCAGCAGAGCATTGAGTACTCTGATATTTTACTGCAAGCAGTCTCATTCAACACGGAATTAATTATAATGCAAACTCCTAAACTCTATTTCCATCCCATGGAGTGAAAAATATCAAGGTTCAAGAGAAACTCAAAATATGTCATCATAAGCCCCCAACTGCCAGTGCAGGCCTGGGCAAAAAAAGCCAATCTACAACATTATACCTTATTTTCCACACAATAAATAAATAAGGTGAACAATCCTAATGTATTTTATGGAACTTTTTCAAGAAGATGACAAATTAAAATGACCAAAAGTCCCCATCAACTAATAAATGCTCACTATTAATAAATAAGTCATCTAATAGATTTTTAAAAATATAAATGTTCTTGTGATGTTTCACGTATCACAAGGTAATTTTTTTTCTTTGAGGTTAGGGTTAGGATGAAGTTCAGAATGTTAGAGCCAAAAAGGTATTCAGACATCATTTAGAAAACCTGTGCTACTCAAAGTCTGGGGCACTGGATCAGCTGAGTTAAGCCTCGCCTGGGAGCTTGTTAGAAAAGCAGACTCTTGGACCCTATTGAATCAGAACTTGCCTGTTAATGAGCATTCCTGGCTGGATGCAGTGATTCACACCTGTCATCCCAGCACTTTGGGAGACCGAGGTGGGCAGATCACCTGAGGTTGGGAGTTCCAGACCAGCCTGGCCAACATGGTGAAACCCCATCTCTAATAAAAATACAAAAATTAGCTGACTGTGGTGGCGGGCGCCTGTAATCCCAGCTAGTCAGGAGGCTGAGGCAAGAGAATCACTTGAACCCAGGAGGTAGAGATCACACCACTGCACTCCAGCCTGGGCGACAGAAAGACTCCATCTCAAAAAAAAAAAAAAAAAAGAGGATTTCCCTGGAGATCCATAGGCACAGGGAATCTCTAGCCCAATGCCACACTCAATGGTTGGCACTGAAAGGTCAGGGGACAATCCTGAGATCACACAGGGGTGAGAGGTACAGCTGTGGTGAGGAGTCACATTTCTGGCCTCAGTTCACTGTGCTTTTTTCTGTGCCTCTGTAACTTTAGGAATGCCCACTGTGTTCATCATGAGAGGCAAATTTTAGATTATAAACCCTAAAAATTGAAAGAAACCACTGCTGAAGTTAACAATCATAGTCATTTCTTGAACTTACTTGTTATAGAGCAGCAGTCCCCAATCTTTTTGGCACCAGGGACCAGTTTCGTGGAAGACAATTTTTCCATGGACATGGACCGGGGGAGGGTGAATATGGTTTTGGGATGAAACTGTTCCACCTCAGATCATCAGGCATTAGGTTCTCATAAGGAACACACAACCTAAATCCCTCAAATGTGCAGTTCACAATAGGGTTCATGCTCCTATGAGAATCTAATGCTGCTGCTGATATGACCATAGGCGGAGCTCAGGTGGTAATACTCACTGTCCCGCCACTCACCTCCTGCTGTACAGCCCAGTTCCTAACAGGCTACGGACTGGTAGAGGTCTGTGGCCCAGGGGCTGGGGACCCCTGTTGTAGAGCATATATTTGTAGAAGGATTAATTCTTTAGTGTCTGATAGAGGGTCACACATGGACTCTTACTAAATATTGTTCATGATAAAGCCATCAGAAAATAGTTTTATGCCTAGATTTAGATTATTGAACAGAAACAAAACTTTTCTCCGTTATGATTTACGCAAATAAAATTTTTCAAAGGAATACTTTCATTGACAAAAATGCTTTGTTTTGGCTAACAACAATCTGTCTTAACTGATTTCACCTTATGTAACTACATTTTGACTGTTTCCACTATTCGAAAAAGAGAAACTGTTCTGTGGCAAATTGTGAAAAAAATGGAGTTTTCTCCTTTGTTGATCTTTCTAGGTACTGCACTGACAGTCATCACTAACCCTTCTTAAAAACCTCAGATTCTTTAACTGTGACACTGCTTTAATCAGATTTACAACTAATTGGGCCATATCTTTAGATTTCCATTCTTTCTTGAACACTTTCCCTGTGCATTTACGTCAAAACTTATTCCTCTATTCATCATTTCTCCATTTCTCTTCACTGAAGAGCTTTGTCAGTCTGATGACCTCAACTACCACATTCATATAGACCAAATCTGTATGCATGTCTGGTCTCATTTGTGCCCATGTGTCTGGTAGATGCGCCTGACAGTGATTACTTGATCACACCCTGAGAATGACCCTGTATGGCAGATGCACTCGAATGTGTTTTCAGAGTTCTAAGCTAAGGAATCTGGGAGGGGCCAACCCGAGATCCATTCTTTATCTATGAGGAACCTCTAAGCCCCTGGCCCATCCCGCAGTACTAGAGCCATACAGGGGATTGAGGCCCTTTGTTTTGGGTTAAATGAAGGTCGTCAGGTAGAGGTTGCTAGGTAGACGGTGCTAAATGAAAATGCTGTATAAACTGCATGCCTCTTGCAAGTAGCTGTGGTTTTCCTGCCCAGCCCACTACCACTGGCCTCTCTTCCCTGTACATAAGCTCCCAATAAAACCCCATGTCTTGTGGGCCAGCTCTGGGTCTCTTCAGCCTCTTGAACCTGGTACCATCCCCACTGGAGTCGATAGGAGTATGGCACAACATCATGGTCAGGGCCTTAACTATAATGAGACATTTTTGCTTGGACATCTTATCTTTATCTCAAAGACAAAGCATCTTTAACCCCATTTTCCCTGATAACTTCTTGGTCTCTATGAATGGCACACCCAATCTTCCCCTCACCTAGGCCTGTACCCATAAATGCTTCACTATTTATATTACATTATTGAGAAATATTTAGCAGCACATTTGAAGGTGCTAAAGACTCATAACACTACTCATGAAATGAGCAAACATCACAATGCAATGTCACTTACAGCATAGCAGTACCTCACAGTGGAAAAGCAGTCATAAGTACTATACCAGTCACCTAGTCATGCTTGTGTTGTTTGGGCTTATTGCCTGTGTTTTTGTAATAGTTACAAGGCAACGGTCTCTCTTTGCTTCTAGCCTCACCTAGCATTATGCCTCTTACCTTGCAGTACCGTGCTTCATTCAGCCCAGTAAACCACCAGATACTTAGCTCTATAGCCCATCTGATAGACATTACTATAACAGTAAATATACTCAGTTGTAACAAGAGAAATCATAACACTGAGCAAAATGTGGTGGTACCCCAGTGTAATCTCATGGTATCCTGTTCAGAACCACTATCTCAGAGTTATAGGAGCTCTATGAGGGAAGTACAGCTTTTGGCTTTCCAGAGTATAACCAGATAACTGATGGCCAATAAATAGCCAATTCAATTTTGGATGATCTCGCTTATTGGTGATTGTTGAGCTTTTTAATATTATGTACCTTTTAAAAATAGGACAATTCTATCAGTTTGGCAATTCAGACCAGCTTTACCATCCTCAGAGCTATTGTAACACTGTTTAACTAAGGATATGGGGGTAACCACACTGCAACATCTGTTCCTCAGTAGTCACCACAATTACTTTGGCCAATCAGAATGGCCAGGTGGACATACCCAATGAGGAGCATCACTTTGCAATAGAGGTCTTTCAGTTTGCCAAGGTGAGGGGTTCCTGAGTTTCCCAGATAGAAACCCTAAGCAAGCTATGAGGGATCACTGACAAGAGTGAATAGGTTGTGTTACTTTGTAACAATTACAAACTGAGCTCTGGTGCCTTAAGGACAGGGTCATATCTCATAGCTACAAATTTCTTACATCCTTCTGAGGCCATTGTTATATCACCTGTTTATTGACTGTTTGATTAGTTCTATGAAATCCAGGAAACAAGGTATACTTGAAGTAACTTTCAGATAGCTAATGGTGGGCAAAACATTTATATAATCAAGTTGTAACATGCTATTGTCGAATTTAATTTATCCCTTGAAAATGTATGGTTATAAAGGCCTATGTTATATAGATAAAACTAAAACACTATATATTCACATTATACAATTTTTACTATTCAAAAAATTACATTCATGTATTTGCAAATATAAACACAATTAGATGCCACAATCTAATTCAGACACATATGATCAAATTCAAAACCTGATTAAGTTAGAGAACTTTGTTTCAATAGCTGAGATAACGTGCTATTTACATTTTCACTAAAACAGCCAAAAACATGCAAAGTCAGAGGGCAAGGGGATAGAAAGGCATAACATTGGTTCAACCAGCGTCTGGGTATTAATGAATTTTCCTCGGTTCATCTGGTTGCTCCTGAATATAGTTCAATATTCTTCTTAAGTTTTCTGATTAAATAAGAAATCTCCAACTTCACCAACACAAGCATGATATCTGCAGGAAAAGAGCTAAGTCTCTCTTCTGAAAATTCATTGTAGAAATACCAGATTTTAACATCAGTCTAACAGTCACAAACACACAATTCCCAAACTACACCTCTAGTGTCTACAATTCAGAACTGAACTGAGTTTATGAGCCGTGTTATTGTTTAAACCATATAAATAAAATCTACATTGTTTCAGTGAAGCTTTTTCTGTACAAATGCAGAACAGCCGGGGCTGAATAGATTCTATTAATAATGCAATATTGAGTTTGGTATTGACTTTAAGAAGTATTATCACCTCCTTGACTAACCCTTAGCTGCCAGCAGACGCTGCCTCAGGCCAGTACACACCTAATTGCTCGGTAAAAAGGCCGTTTCCCTACCTCATTGAGCTGCATGATGTGATAAATTTGCCTCAGGTACTCGCTGCCACCTGGTTTGTGGCAGAGATCCAGGACCATCGTGTTTATTTTCTGCTCAGTCAGTTCAAGAGCAATATCTCCTTCTTGTAAGGCCGTGCTTTTCTCTATTGTCATAAATGCACTAAATACAAAGAAAGCATATACATATCAGTAGTGAAGAATTGTAAAGATGGAGAGTAATCATGGAGATGGAGTGTGGAGAGTTGATGTAAATCTCAGATTCAAAGCATCCATAAAGACTTCCCTGAAATAGGTAAGCCTTCCCAAACCGCTGCTGCTCACATAAACAGCACCTTAGAATTAAGCACCTGAAAGCATTTTCAAAAATTGAATCGTTTCTTCTAAAACATGTCTTTACTGCATTTATACTCCTATCTATAAAACATTTTCCCATTACTGCAATTGTTGAGATTGCTATAATCATGAGATGAAAACAAAACATTTCTTTTTAAGAACATGTAAGAAATAATTTGTATTTTCTCTTTGTGGATAAAAAGTATCTTTGATGCCTGAAATAGCTTTGGTATTTTGTCTTTTGTAGAGTCCTCTTTACACCTGTTGTAAAACACATTGAAGACTAATTAAAGTGTCAAAAGGGGGAGCCTATTATGCTAAATATAGGCTGGGTGCTTCGTGGCAGTGTGCTTACCAGTGGGTATTTTAAATTGGCCTTTGACACTTGTTGCCTTTTAAAAATATGTGCCCCACTCCTGTTTCTTTCTGTAACAGATACTTAGCAAAAGTCACTATCCTGATTATTCTTCCAGAAAAAGAGTCTACTATCACCACACCAGGAATGTGCAAGAGATAGTTCTAAAACATTTCTTTTAGAAGGATCTATATGCATATTGTTGATTTTGAACATTATTTACACAGTAATAATGGATGACAAAAAGAATTTAAACATTTCAAACTATACCAGTGCAAAAAATTATGATATTCAATGTACACATATATTCCACACGAATTTTCTTGTTGTTATTGGGATCAGGCTACACTTTGCAATGTAAGTATTCTTACAACTCATGGTTTTCCACTGTTTCCAAGACTAAATAAAATTTACTGTGGCGTAATCAGCTGTATACTGCAGTTCATTACTGAGATTTTGCCATGATTATAAAATTAGTTCTGCTAAGAGTCAGTGCAGCTGACCTGAAGACGGAACCAAATGACACCCAGCTGCTGGACATTAAGTTTGATATTGCTTCCACATGTAGCTTCAAAACATCCTTCTCAAAAACGGGAGGAACTTTAAGATCATATAGCCTTGCTAAAAAATAAAGAAAATCCTACTTTGACTTAGAGATATTCATTAGCTAGAGTAAATTTTTTTTTTTTTAAAGACCTTTTTACAAGAAAATAAGTTTGCAGGTATGTTTTTGAAACTGCATACAGGTTGCAAAAAAAATTTCTTGTCAGGTTTTGTAGAGGCTGACATTGAAAAAGTTGAGGCCCTCTGACAAAGGAGTATCTCAGTGTCAGCTCCTGAATTGTATCCTTTCCTGTCCATCACTGTGCAGGTGAAGCAAATGATTGGATTCAGTCAATGCTATGATTAATGAGTTCCTCTCCGGATTTGGGACTGCCTATCAATCATGTCATTAGGGAGAATGTGCCCTGAAAGAGGCAGACCTTAGCCAAGGAATAACTGCATTAATCTTAATCTGTATATGCACCCAGCCAGCCAAGTCAGGGTCACCATGATGAAAAACAATAATCTTCAACTCGACAAATTACTTTGCAAAGACAGACATTTCTTTACTTTTTGTGCTGTGTGTTCTCCAGAATCTAAGTTGACTGTTTACAGCTTGAGTGTTACTACAAAGTGAAGGTTATTTTAATGAATAGTAATGCTTTCAGGCAGTATGCAGGACAGGCAACACTTACAGCTGCCACCTTTTCCACTGCAGTTACTTTCACCATTTCCATAAAATCAAAGTTAAATCTGGATGCAAGTCAAAGGAATCTAGCTAAATGGTATCATGTAGTTTCAGATAATCTTCATCAGTAATTAAGATTTAATTGATCTTAACAGAAGAACCATTTTAGTTTAAATGCTTACATACTCATATATTTTTTAAAATTACGGTAGAACCAAGGCAACCCTCTACCTAATACAGACATCATGTTTTGAAATACATTTTTCCTCACAGTGTATATCTATGAGTAAAATGACCACCAATTAGTGAGAAATACTTAGAGGTGGAAGTGCACTTGTATAACATAATCAATTTGAAATCAAAGTCAAGAAGAAACACTTTTTTTTTTTTTTTTTTTGGTTTTGCTTTTTCCCCCAGGCGGGGGGGCGGTGGTGTGATCTCGGCTCACTGCAACCTCCGCCTCCCGGGTTCAAGCAATTCTCCTGTCTCAGCCTCCCGAGTAGCTGGGATTACAGGTGCCCGCCACCACACCCAGCTACTTTTTTTTGTGTGTGTATTTTTTGTAGAGATGGGGTTTCATCATATTGGTCAGGCTGGTCTCGAACTCCTGACCTCAGGTGATCCGACTGCCTTAGCCTCCCAAAGTGCTGGGATTACAGGTGTGAGCCACCGCGCCCAGTCAAGAAACACTCTTATACTGCCCAAACTCTGTAAGAGATTGTTATCTAAAGTGAGTTAAGTCAAATTTAACTTTTTCAAATAAATGCAATACATAACTTTAAAACTGCACTTTGTGTATTGATATCATTTGAGAAATTGAGAAAGATGTATTGTGCTAATTACATAATTACTCAGAAACTTTGAGGGCTGTACTGCGTTTTTTAAGTCAGCAATTCTTCATTTTTTATGCATGTTGTATGAGAGGTAAATAATCTTTTGGCTCATTGTTAATCAGCAAAATATTAGCTAGGCAACTCCCACTATAGGAGATACCAGATGTGTTGGGGTTGTTTATAAAACTTAAATTGAAATCAGCTTTTAAGGAAAAAATTTAGCTTATAGATTCTTGTATGTACCCCTACATGTATTACCTAGACATTGCTTTAAATGGATCTTATTTGATATAGGGGCTACTAAATCAGCAGTATCATAAATTTAACTTTGTCACTATAATCAGATATACTTTTTACTCTTGTTTTTCCTCTCCCCTTTATAACCACTGCCATGGATAATGACATCAGGCCTTAATGTTTTAGTCATTGGATTAAAGCCTGTAAATTAGTATTGAATGCAAACAGAAAGATTAAGACGGTCACTGTCAATGTTACTAAGCATTTGCCTGAATGCTATTGTAATTCCTACCCATGGGACGCTGCAGAAGTACATTTCTAGAGGTCAGTGTGATGAGACCAGGAAAATCATGATTACCTACTTTTCCCCATTTGGATTAACATAAAGTCTTATAGATTAACATAGACAAGTAAACATTATTAATTACCTTAATACTAACCAGTGAATGCAATGTATTTTAATAGAGTTTATACATAGTAAATGCCTATCAGTTCCAAGCTTGATGCTAAGAACTCCATGAATGTTATTTAGTTTTTCAAAACAATTCTGTCAGTGTGGTATCATCATTGAAACTGAGGCTTTGAGAGATTCAATAACTTGCACAAGATGACCCATTTACAAGGGATTTGTACTTGCCCATCTGATTCCAAAGCCTGATCTCTTTATCATTACCATGTACTAGTAAGAGTAACCATATATCAAGTGACTTTTCGTCATTTTGGGCAGAAAGTTATATTAGTATCTGCTAGCAACATGAATATTTTTTTAAAGAATGAGGGACAGCGTGTGTGGGTGTTTTTAAAATGGGCTGACAGTGATCTATAGACCATATGAGCTGGAATTCCTTTATCAATACCATGCAATTCTACACCTGAAGACTAATTTAAAGACAGGAGGACTCTATGTACATATTTAAATTCATCAGGGACCCTTAAACATCTTTGCAGTATCACAAATCACTTAGCTCTTAGTGACAAACCCATGAGAAGGCTGACATTTTCATACAGAAACAGCTGGGTGTGTTTATAGCTGGAGTGTGATATGCCCTAGTTGCCCTCTGGGATTCTTACATTACCAGATGAAAAATGTGTACCTTTTTGACAATCAGGTACACAGAAAGCAATAAAAAGCCTTTTATATCCATTAATTCCTTCTTAATTTAATCTCCATGCCCAATCCATTTGCAAAATGCTCCAGGCTATCCAATAGATACCTGTTTGCACACTGAAAAGGGGTGAAACTAAATTCTCCTGGGTTTAACTACCACCCTTTTAATCAGAAACCTTAAGACGGTGACTAAACAAGTATACTGTTCCAGTGTGTCAATGGGGTTCACATTTTAAGAAGACAAGAAATGTGCAACAATCCAATTTTTAATGGGATACTTATCTTTTTTTTATTCATCAAAGCTCCCATGAATTTAGCAAAATACTATTGCTGCCCATCTGACAATATATTGTTGTTCATTGGTGATTTTGTTATTGTAAAAGCATTTGATGAAATCCAGTAAGAGAAAAACATCACTGTACCATTCAGTGCTCAGTTTCCTTGCTTTCAACAATTGACGTTCAATCCAGTTGGGCTTCTGCTGCTCAATGCTCTGTATGACCTTTTGGATCATTTGATTAGGGATACTTGTCTGGTCTCCCATGATGCTCTCCAAACACATACAAATTAAACCCAGTTTTTCTTTACTCCATCTGTCAAGGGAGGCACCTGTTAAAAGTTCCACAGTGTTTCCGTCCTCAAATATCCGACATATAATTACAATCAAGTTCCAGACAAGCAGACCAGCTTTCTTCAATTCAACAAAGTTTTTTGACATTTTTCTCTCAGACAGAAAAAAGAAGTATTTAATTGGGGGAGGCAAACATGCAATCACTGTAGGTAACTTGCTGATTACAATAGATACTGCCTGAGCAGCAAGCCTTGTGAAGCCTGGGGAAGAAAAGAAAAGGTATGATTAATATTAGCATTTGTGTTCAATCATTGCATGGTTTTGTGTTGTATAAAGATGTCTAATTTTTGTGGAGAAAATTGGCAAGAAGATCAAGTGCTTGACATATTCCAACAGAACTCTAACCGGGGTCTCTGGCAGTACTACCTAAAGTTCCCCCAAATCACAAATCCGGGGTTTTTTTTCTCTCATAAATGAAGATTAGAAAATTTAGACTCATAATTTGTATTCTTTCAAGACTGCAGCTTTCCAGGACCCATGTGGCCTCCTAATTAACAAATACAAAGGTTCCCAGCTGGGCAACTTTGTAGGCTTTGATACTTCTGATTCCCCCTTAAGCCCTTCTCCCTTGGAATCCATGACAGAATCATTCCAGCTCTCCTCAGGACTGGTTTCTCTCCTTTCAGTTCTCAACCCAAATGTTACCTCCTCAGACAGCCTTGCCTCACCATCTTATCTTATCTCATCTCGTCATCCTCTCAGTCCATTTACACCCTTCCATCACAGCCCCAAGACCCTCTCTTTCAGGGATCTCCATTTTGTTGCCTTTATTATAGCATTCCCCATCATCTAATAATTACGTCCTTTTCCTGCACACTGTATGTCACCCTCTTCTGAACTATAAGCTCTTAGAAGGCATTCCCATATCCCTAGCACTTAGTACCTCATATATAATAGTTGTCAATAAATATTGGTTGAATTAATGAGTCAGTAAATTGTTTCCTGCTTACCTCTATCTCTCCTCTTTGCTTCTTTGTGTCCTATGCTATTTCCACTTTCTACTAACACTTCTTAGATGTAGATTTTTGCTGAGACGTCCTTAGCCTTTTGGCTGATGATTCTCCCTTGTTTGGTGCTATTTCACATTTATGATCTTATTTAATGCAACAGCCTTAGGAGATTATTCAAATATGTGTTGGACCTAGTTTTTACACACTTATAAAGACTGTTCCAATTAATTTTTAAATGATTCTTAGGTTGTCATGAATTGCGGAGGAGTCACTAGATTAGACATATTTTCCAAGAAAAATGTATTAATTCTTCTTCTCTATATCAGGGTTTCTCAACTTCAGCACTATTGCCATTTTGGACTGGATGATCCTTTGTTGTGAAGAGCTGTTCTATGTTCTGTAGGGTGTTCGGCTGCATCTCTGGCCTCCACCCACTAGATGTCAGTAGCATCCCCCTCAGTGGTGACAACCAAAAATATCCTCAGGCATTGCCAAATGTCCCCTGGGAACAAAACTGTCTGGTTGAGAACCACTCTTCTATATGATTCCAGAATCTTAAGTCTTGGCCTTTCTCCAGAATTGTAGTCCTGTAACTCCAGCTTTCTGTTAAGCATTTCACTTCTGTGTCCTCATCACCGTCAACTCAATATAACTAAAACCAAATTCATTGTCTTCCAAACTAGCTTGGCCCTTCTCCCTCCCTCCCACCCTTTCCTCCTTTCTTCCTTCATTCCTTCCTCTCTCCCTCCCTCCCTTCTTCCTCACTACTCTCCTTCCCCACACCTCCTCCCTCCCGTTCTTCCTTCCTGTTAAATATTCCTGTTGATCCTTCATACCTAATCAGTGATCAGCATTGATATATAGTTCTGCCCCTTTATCTCTGCCATCCAGTTTCTCATTGCTGGGGCCAGCTGAGGTTACTGACCTACCTCAAGCCCTTCTTCACACATGGTACCTTGACTATGGAAGTATTCTCCTAACTCATCTCCCTTCTCCAGGCTATGTCCAGCCCTTCTCCTGCACTGTAAAACTGAATTCATCCCTATGAACTGTATTATCCAATTTCCCTGCTGTGATAATTTTAGCTACTTACCACTGTTATAAGATCAGTCTCTTGGGCCTTGCTGTGAAAACACTCCGCAGTCTAGCCTCAGCCTGTTTCTATGATCCTTCTCTTTAAGACCTTTAACATGCTTTATCCTCTTTGCTTTTAGGCTTCTGAGTACGTCATTACTCTCAATGGAATGCCCTCTGTCTTCAGGGTTCACAAATAATCTTCAACTCTTAGTTCAAAGTCCTCTCCCCTCTTGTGAATTTATTTGAATATATTCTATATATGACCATTTTGGTAATTAGGTCCATAATTGGCTATGTTATTTTTGTATTATCATCTATTGTATTTATATTATGTTATTTATATATTCATGAGTTGTCTTTACAGCTAGCCTATAAACTCCAGAGCACGGGAAACAAAGCTCTTAGCTCCTTGATTATCCCACAAAGCCAGACAGTGTTTTAATCCACTATGTACATAATGGAATTTGAACATTAAAACTGAATGAGAAGCCAAAAGAAAGTAGCTCTGAGTTCTTTGGTAAAACATTCTTTACTGTGTTTGCTGAACAAAAATAACAGAACAATGTGAACATTTTCTGAAGATATGTGTAACATTTAAAAAGTCACTCTGTTCCAAAAAAGTACAAAGCTCTTGGAAAATATGTCTAATCTAGTGACTCCTCTGCAATCCATGACAACTTAAGAATCATTTTTAAAATTAATTGGAGCAGTCTTTATAAGTTTGTAAAAACTAGGTCCAACACATATTTGAATAATCTCCTAAGGCTCTTGCATTAAATAAGATCATTAATGTGAAAGCACCTAGCTCAGCACCTGATAAAAATAGTTGCTCAATAAATGTTTTCTTTTTATTCAAATTAATGTGTTTAGGTGAGGCTTAAAATATAGATAAAGCAACTCTTCCTTAGTGTTCTTAAATTATTTGAAATGTCTCATTGTTCTTTATGTGTTTGTGTCTCGTAGTCCCTATTCTGCTGTCAGGTCTTTGACTTGAAAGATTGTATCTTGTATTCCCTCTGTCTTAAAGAGGGTTTGACTACAGATACTGAGCAAATATTTGACAAACTAAGTAGATATTAGATAAAGATTACCAATTTTCTTCTTCACACCTACACTCCACTGATATTTTATAAACTCTGAGGACTACGGGTACCCAAATCCCCAGCTATTTCATTAACGCTTGAGGCAAATTTCAATCAGAACCTTTAGGCTAATGACAAATTAATAAATCCATTCTACCAATCTCTAGGGCTCTGAGTCTATGATGATGTCAACAACATACCAGGGAAGGATCTTTTAAGACTGCTACATACTTGTCTTTCTGTCTTTATTTAAATAAGTTTAATTCTACCTAAGCCGTATATATGTAATATATTGTGTCATCCAATTTTAGAGCTGATAAATTATGAAGAAAATCTATGTCTTAGGATGAATGCAATATATGTTTATTGATGTATTTGTCATTTCTTCTTTTCTGTAAGGTACTACCGTAATAATATATTTGTGGTTGATAAAACATGCAAAAAGGAAATATACAATAAATGAGGTAAAGAAAATAATGTCAAAATTAATTTTTAAAATTGTATTTATTAATGGTAAAAAAGATCAGTAACAATTTGTTGAATGAGGATAATGAACTTTTTTATTATTTTTTAAATCTGGGCTTAACACTTCACAATACAGAGGACAAGTTCTAAGTTCAGTTTGTTTCAAGATCAGGTTTTCACGGCTGTCATAGGTGAAAAAGCCACTACACGAACACATATAGATCAACATGAAACCAGTATATCCTTAGCTGTGCCCACAAAATCATGGCATTTATTTTTCAGTGTTAACTACCAAATAGGTGAAGGCTATTATTGAAATTTGACTAATAAGTATCCATCATCTGTGATGTCAATTTGTTGTTTTTGCAAACAAATGGAAATTTATATATATATATATATATTTTTATACTTTAAGTTCTAGGGTACATGTGCACAATGTGCAGGTTTGTTACATATGTATACATGTGCCATGTTGGTGTGCTGCACCCATCAACTCGTCAGCACCCATCAACTCGTCATTTACATCAGGTATAACTCCCAATGCCATTCCTCCCCTGCCACTGCTCCCTATAATAGGCCCCAGTGTGTGATGTTCCCCTTCCCATGTCCAAGTGATCTCATTGTTCAATTTCCACCTATGAGTGAGAACATGTGGTGTTTGGTTTTCTGTTCTTGCGAAAGTTTGCTGAGAATGATGGTTGCCAGCTGCATCCATGTCCCTACAAAGGACACGAACGCATCCTTTTTTACGGCTGTGTAGTATTCCATGTTGTATATGTGCCACATTTTCTTAATCCAGTCTGTCACTGATGGACATTTAGGTTGATTCCAAGTCTTTGCTATTGTGAATAGTGCTGCAACAAACATATGTGTGCATGTGTCTTTATAGCAGCATGTAATGCTGCTATACAGTAATGCTATGGCTGGGTCATATGGTATTTCTAGTTCTAGATCCTTGAGGAATCACCATACTGTTTTCCACAATGGTTGAACTAGTTTACAATCCCATCAACAGTGTAAAAGTGTTCCTATCTCTCCACATCCTCTCCAGCACCTGTTGTTTCCTGACTTTTTAATGATTGCCATTCTAACTGGTGGGAGATGGTATCTCATTGTGGTTTTGATTTGCATTTCTGTGATGGCCAGTGATGAGAAAAGCATTCAAGAGTCACTGAAACTCTTCATTTGCAATATTTTATATCATGTTAGAAAATCCTATTTCTAAATTCTTAAGCAAAAAGAGATGATATTTTTGTAGATAACACTGGTTCTTATGAAACAAATAGGCCTGGTTTTTATACACTATACTAATGACTTCTTATAGCACTTTGTATATTTCTGCCATCAATTTCTTTCTCATTATGCTGTTTCTGCATGTGACCAATGGCATGGACACATTTTCCTAAATGCTGCTTGCTACTTCTGTTTCCTCTCTCTAGAATTCATTGTTTCCATTAAGACAATTACTCCAAAAGTTTTGCCATAAGGGATTATTTTCATTTAAAAAGTAATTTACTGTTGAGAAAATGTCTTCTCAGGTATATCTTTCATTTAATTTTTGTCAAAGAAACAAAACAAAACAACTAGTTCTTTGTGTATTTGTTCTTTGAAACATAATGAAACAAATATCTAAAAGCAGAGCTGTGTCAGAACCATCCTAACTTCCATCCAACTCTCCAGTAAATCTACACTGTAATCTTTATTGTAATATTTATTTCTTTAAATCCTCAGTGTTTTTTAATGTCACAGTATTTGCTGATAAAGAAATAAAGAATGCATTTTAGTTTGTCACCATAGTGTTTTCCATGTTCTGTCATTTTTACTGTGTCAAGAAGGACAAATATTCCCTAAGATAATGACTATTTGTCTTTTAGTAAGTTAGATTTTTTTTAAAGACCTTTAAACATTTATAATTACTTAGACAAATTTTGTAAGAACCGTGATTATATATCACTAAATTAAAACATGGTTGAAAAAAATTACAGAAGTTTATCTTCATGTTTTGGATACTTAGTGTAGAAATCTTTTGTTTATCAAGATGACTCCAAACTAGCTAATATCTCAAGGCTCAATACTGGCTTAGGAGGGATTCACATCTAACAAAATATATGGGAAGCCACATTTCAAATCATTTCTTCACATTTTTTTTTTTTTTTTTTTTTTTTTGGCCAAATGTGATCAAATCATTGTTTTGTAATATGGCTGTGAAGAGCTCATATTAAGAATAGAAACAAGTGGGAGCTTTTTCACTTTGTCATTGTTTGCTCTTGATTGCATTTCCAGCACTAGTTTTAAACTGCAGTTCACTTACTGGTTTATAGGAATATGTTAAAGTCACTTGTATGTATTATGAGGATTAATTTTGTTACAACCAGAGTCCGTAATACAAAGGACAACTCTAATTCATTACCGTGTGCTGAAAGCTAAAGGAGGAATAAGGTCACCCTGCCCATGGCCTCTCCCCAAGAGCATGGCAACCCTGCTCTTCCCTCAAGCTTCCTCACATATTTTTATTATTATTATTATTATTATACTTTAAGTTCTAGGGTACATGCATACAATGTGCGGGTTTGTTACATATGTATACTTGTGCCATGTTGGTGTGCTGCACCCATCAACTCGTCAGCACCCATCAACTCATCATTTACATCAGGTATAACTCCCAATGCCATCCCTCCCCTGCCACTGCTCCCTATAATAGGCCCCAGTGTGTGATGTTCCCCCTCCCGAGTCCAAGTGATCTCATTGTTCAATTCCCACCTATGAGTGAGAACATGCGGTGTTTGTCCTCAACACACACTGGCTCACCCACAGACCAAGAAAGGTCTCCAGTGACAATCCCAAGTGATATTTTAGTGAAGTTTAATTTCTTTCTCTCTTCTCATACACCAAAAAAACTGTACATCTCTTATTTGTACCCATTTTGAAACAGTTATACTAGTCTTCTGGCACCAAGAGGAGATACTGCACTTAGGTTTATCTCTAATCTGAAACACAGTGCCTGGTATATAGTAGTCTCTCACTTAGTAAATTTCTACTGAATGAATAATGAAATCAATAAATAACTTAACTTCCAGCATGTACACATTCTCTATCTTATATTCTGTAGTGAAAATAAAATTTAAGAAGTACAAATCTAAAAGTCCCTGTAGCATTTCAGAGGGCAGTAAAGAAGAACAATGGCATTCTCCTATTGTCACATCCTGTTAGAATGCAAAAAATGGTTTGTAAAGTCACTTTCTTTTATATATTCATGGGATCTGACTTTCCTTCATGGTTGTCTTTGTGTTGTACTTTTACTCGGAATGAGCATTTTATGAAAAATGTTATTTAGTAAGGAAAACTTTAACAACTGGTATCTATAAGTAAGCATTTTTTGGAATAAGAGGCTCTTTGCAATGGTATGGAGGAATTCCAAAGTGCTTAGAAAAAGCAAAATTGTTCATGAATAGAACAACTCGAAAACCACAAGCAAAATAGTGCTACTCATATGGCATGATATGTTAACTATAAATCATGCCTACTGAATTGGTCAAAATGTATGAAATATCCAAAAGCTAGAACAAAGGAGAGATGGCAACAACTCTTAGAAAAGAAAGAACTTAAGTAATGAAAAGGTGACATTTTCCAATTTCAATTAAATGGCTTTACTAGATTCAAAGGGAGTTTAATAGGGCTTGGACAGAATTAAAGCATTACTATGAAAGGTCACAGACAGATAATTGATTTGAGTTTGTAATATAAGGTCACATTATTTAGGATCTCCATGGAGAAGAATGAAAGAAAGGCTAGTCCCTTCAATTGACTTTAGTGAGTTCAGCTGGAGTATTTTATTGTTGAAAGTTTCCTTAGAGAAAAAATATTTTCACTAACTCTAAGGAAACTTTCCCTAGTTTCCTAGTTTTCTAGTTTCTCTAGAAAAACTGGAGAAAGTTTCCTTAGAGTTAGTGAAAATATTCTTCTTAAAGGATGAATATGAAAGAAAAAAGTTTTATTTTAAATAATCAAAAGAAGATTCACGAATACAGGTACGTAATATACATACAAAGAAATCTTGTGAAATTCTGCAAAAGTGGAAAGATCTAGATAGGGAGAAACTATTTAAGAAGAGAGGACTTGACTAATAAAATAAATGAATAATGTAAGTAACTGATGGTTCTTAAGTACACTTGGTGGATGCGCTGTTCTGAATAGGAACAATGCACTCAATTTAGAACCAGAAGCACTGGGGGAAAAATACCCTGTCAGAAAAATACATGTACTTACCAAACTGGGTGCTATTTTTGACCTAAAAGCTACATATGTAGGTGTTTTAACAGGAGAAAAGAAGGTAATAATTAGTGTTTGCAGAGAAAAAACTTAAAGGAAAGAATAACTAAATGGAATATCAGAGCAATCTTCTCTAGAGTATGGATTTTAAGTTACTCAACAAATTTTAAGAAAATTAGTCAAAATCATGTGACTAATCTGTGAGTATTAGCCTGAACACAAAACATCACAGAAAATCCTGAACTGGTAATTAAATAAAGAAGATAACCATTTGAATAATTTCCCATTCTAGTTTCCTTGATCATGTGACTCATAGTAAAAATAAAAATAAGGGTCCCAAATATGCTTAATAGAAAGAAGATTAATATAGTACATAATTCTTACAACTTTTAGAATTTTACTTGATTGCATATCCTAGAAAATTGCTTCTTCAGGTGTATTTTCTTAAAGAGAAACAAATATACTTACTTTTGCTTGATTCTTTCCTTTTAGTTTCTTTTGGACTATAATTCCATTCTTTTGGCATGCTCTCAAGCAAACAATCAGGAACCATGTGCTTGTTGGGGTTTGTCTCACAGTTTCTCCTAGAGCTCATCACAGATACTATCTGCTGTACAGTGTCCTTGACGGCATCGGTCAGTGCCAGTCTCAAGCATCGAATGACCTCTAGCTCATACTCCACGCACGTTGAGACTTTAAAATCAGATGGCATATTATGGTTAGCAGAACCTAGCAAATCATTTGTGCCTTACTCAACTAGAATTCAGTTTCATAATAATCTAGTTTAAAGCTATAGGAAAGGAGAGCTGCTTTTAACCAAGAAATCATATGATTGATAACCACTCCATAAAACATTTTTTAAAAAAAATTCTTCTTCTTTGGAATAAAAGAAATGGCAATTAAGATAACAGTACATAATATTTACTGGTACTCTTGGACTCTTCTGGTGAGAACATAAATTGTATGACCTTCCCTGATGACAACTTGGCTGACAATAATGTCAAAGCTTCAACATTTTACTTATCAGTTGACTCACATATTCCTTTCTGTAGGACTTTTCCTAAGAAATTTATTATAAATATGCAAAGGATATAGAAAAAATTAAAATCAATCAAAATATCCAATAATAGGTGATTTGTTTAATTAGCTCTGGTATTTCTGTCTACACAATAAAGCCAAATATTGTGTAGTAAAAATAAAGTAGGTTAGAAAAGAGTATGATATCCTATTTTTATTAAAAATATATATCTCCACACATATATAAAATAATTAAAAGATGTACTCTATAATGTTAATGGTGATTATCAATGACGGATGGAATTTCAGGTATATATTTTTCTTCCTTTTCTCTTCTTTCCTTTCTTCCTTCTTTCTTTACAAATGGTCAATCAATTCAGTGTTAGAATCTTACCAAGGGTTTTCTTATCAGCAAAATGTTAGAGCCGGTCCCTAGATTGCCAAGACACATAGCATAGGAAGAATAGAGTAATAGCCCTAAAACCCAGCTGCTAAAAACCCAAAATACTAATTCTTCATTATCAGCATAAATGAGAGAAGCAAGGGAAAGGATTGTTTAAAATGACAATAATTTTTATTAATGATTTTTATTATTGTAGTTTATTTCCACTTTTTATATTAAATTAACAAATGAAAACAAAGAAACATAAAATTCAGGTTAGAATCATATAACTTAAAGAATACCTGCTTCATTATCTAATTAATTTTCAAGTGTTTCAAATCACCATTAAAAATATAGACACTTTAGGAGGGGCCTCAGTGTCCTCATTTATAAAATGGTGAGGGGAGAGGGCGACAAGGGCTAGACAAGATGATATTTGTCACTTTTCACCTTCCATGACTCTATTTAAGACTCCTAAGAAGAAAATAACAAATACGTCACAGCTGAGCACACACAAAGTTGAAAAGAACTGTGACTCTACTTCCCTTTACAACACAGTAATCAGGAGGCCTTAGAAAGGGCTGAATGAGGGTCCTAAATTGAGAATGTGCTTGAGGCTATGAGCAGCAATCCTAAGAATGATTTAAACCAGTTTTTGTATGTTCACTAAGCTACCAATTGCTTACCAATTTTTATCAGTATAATCTTTTATATTTTGGTAATAACAGATGTGGCAGGATTTCCAAAAAGAAACTTCATTACTTTTATGTTAAAATGTCTATAATTTAGAAGAATCAGAACAAAGGTAATTTAGTGAGAGTTTTTCAGGCTACTGTTAAGAAAGATGTTATATGCAATAAAGAATAACCTAATGTGGTTTTATAAAAGCAATGGAAATTACATCTGAATATGTTTCTAAGTAAAAAGGTTTGGTTTAAATAATTATTCTATTAATATATTTACCAACCAGAAGTCATTGGAAATGTCTCCAGATAAATTATAAGTAACTGGGGAGTCAAAAGTAACAAAACATCATTGAAAATCTTCTGCAAATACATTAGCATACTTTCCTGCTTTAGAAAATTAGTTTCTTTGATGCTTCATAACTTCATAACTATGAACTTCATAACTTCAGGTGGAACATCTAAATTTAGAAATGTAAAAATTTAGACAAGCTCCGGTCTGATTTTCTCACTTTTTGAAAATAAGGACACTGATAAACCAGATAGGAAGTGATAGACCAGACAGTAAGTAGCAAGGCAAGGATGTATTCTCTAGTTAGCCAGTTCAAGCAGTGGTATACACAGGACTAGACAGGATGGCTTGGAGCAATCCACAATCTCTAAGTACATGCCATACCCAGCCACTCCTAATAAATGTAGCATCTAAGTCAGCAGCCAAGCTTCTGACTCCCTTTTCTACTTTTACTGCTGTAATTAATTAATTAATTAATTACTTAATTTGAGATAGAGTCTAGCTCTGTCAACAGGCTGGAGTTCAGTGGCAAATCTCGGCTCACTACAACCTCTGCCTCCCGAGTTCAGGTGATTTTCCTGCCTCAGCCTCCTGAGTAGCTGGGATTACAGGCATGCGCCGCCACACCTGGCTAATTTTTGTATTTTTGGTGGAGATGGGGTTTCACCTTGTTGGCCAGATGGTCTCAATCACCTGACCTTGTGATCCCCACACCTGGGCCTCCCAAAGTGCTGGGATTACAGGTGTGAGCCACTGCGCCTGGCCTACCCGCTGTATTTAAACAGTCCTCTACAAAACTGCTGGGGCGCTTTAACCTACCCTATTCTTGTCTGAGACCAGTCCTCCATCTTCTGTAATTACTCTGCAATGCCCTAGAATTAGAGAAAATTTTACATATATCTAGAATTGTCTGCAGTCTATTTAGTAATATGTGAATTCCCCAGTATCTCTGGCTTTAGATCCAAATTTCTTAAAATTTTAGAATTAGAAAGCCATTAATTTTAATGACGGCATTGGCCTCCTCAGGCGTGCTTTAAAAATAGACAAGTGTGGAGAAGCACTTCCAGAATGATAGTGTGAAGACCTGGGAAAGTCTGCACCTCCATTAAAGCTATCAGAACACTGGCGAAAATTGTGAAAATCAACTTTTGAGAACTCTGGAAATTAACCACAGGCTTGCAACAATCCAAGGAGTATTTATTCAAGAAAATCAGCTGAATCTTGGTAAAAACAATGAGCTTTGTGGCATTTTAACCTGCTCTATTCCCAGCTTCCATTTCTCAGCAAGTTCTACTTGAACTACTATGGCCTTGAAAACGAGCAGCCTTGAAGCCATGGTAGTTATAAAAGCCTAGCAGCCACTGGAAGAGGCAGAATGTGTTTTGACCTATCCACAACGTCCCAGTCTCCCAGATTGTCACTATTTGTCTTGTCCGGAATCTCCCTGGAAGAGCGCTGTCCACAATGCATATCCTTATTCAAACTAACTCAGTGACTGAAAATGTCCTATCCCCAGGATATTTCATCAAAACAGTCAGCAGCAACGGTTTAACTCTGTGGCTGCCTGAGGTAGTAATACTGGTTGTGGCAAACAAGAAGCTAATAAAAAAAGGAAAAGAAAAACTGAGAAATGAAATGTACATGTATATAGTGGGGAGAAATTTTGAATATCTCTGTCACACTCCTGGGGATCAAGAAAGACACAGACATGTACAGGACTGTGCACATACCCAAGAAAGCCCTGAGAAAGCCCTAATCTCTCACCTCTGACTAATCTGGACGCTCTGTGCAAGCAGGGTGTAAAGACTAAGGAAGAGTTGCAAACTATGTGTGTGTTGGGACATGCTTTCAATTCTCTGGCAGTTTACAACAATTCTACTCCTAGGTATATATCCAAAAGATTTTTTGAACATTCACACAAAAACTTGTACACTATGTTCATACCAGCATTATTAATAACAGCCAAAAAGTGGAAACAACACAAATTCTCATCAACTGATGAATCAATAAGCAAAATGTATATTTTCATATAATGGATTATTATTCAACAATAAAAAGAAATGGAGTTCTGATGTATGTTACAACATGGATTAACCTTGAAAATATTATACTAAGTGAAAGAAACCAGACACAAAATGCACATACTGTATGATTCCATTTATACAGAACATCCAGAAAAGGCAAACTATAGAGACAGAAAGTAGATTAGTAGTTGTCAGGAACTGGGGAGGAACTGTTAATGGGTACAGGGTTTCTTTTTGAGGTGATTAAAATGGTCTAAAATTAAATAGTGCTGATGGCTGCACAGTTCTGTAAATCTACTAAAAACCACTGAACTGTGATATGTTTACACTTTAAAAGGGTGAAATTTATGGTATATAAATTATATCTCAATACATTTGCTATAAAAATGCAATTGCCTCTAAAAGGACACACACAAACATTTGTCATTGATATCATAATATGATTTAATTAGAGCAGGGGTCAGAAGACTTTTTCTGTAAGTAGCCACATAATAAATATTTTAAGCTGTAAGACAGATGATCTTTGTTGCAACTAGTCATCTTTACTGTGGAAGCACAAAAGTATCCACAAATAATACGTAAGTAAATAAACATGGCAATTTCCAATAAAACTTTATTAAAATGGTGGGTTGGATTTGCTCCAAAGGCAATGGTTTACCAACTTCTAGTTTTAACATAAACATGGCAATTTCCAATAAAACTTTATTAAAATGGTGGGTTGGATTTGGTCCAAAGGCAATGGTTTGCCAACTTCTAGTTTGACTGGTTTAAAGGTTTTCCTTTGGTACTAGATGGGAACAGGACACCAAGAGCTTTTGATAGTAAGAAGAAAGGGAGAGATAATTTTGGAGTATAAATTCCAGCCAACACAGAGTTTTTGTGCAATCAGAGTGAATCTTTTTTTAAATTTTATTTTATTTTATTTATTTTTGAGACAGAGTCTCTCTCTTGTTGCCCAGGCTGGAGTGCAACAGTGCAATCTTGGCTCACTGCAATTCTCCTGCCTCAGCCTCCCAAGTAGCTGGGATTACAGGCCCCCCCCCCCCCCCCCATTTTTTTTTTTTTTTTTTTTGAGACGGAGTCTCGCTCTGTTGCCCAGGCTGGAGTGCAGTAGTGCAATCTCGGCTCACTGCAAGCTCCACCTCCCAGGTTCATGCCATTCTCCTGCCTCAGCCTCCCGAGTAGCTGGGACTACAAGCACCCGCCACCATGCCTGGCTAATTTTTTGTATTTTTAGTAGAGACAGGGTTTCACCTTGTTAGCCAGGATGGCCTCAATCTCCTGACCTTGTGATC